ATACCTGAGATAATCAGTAAAAGTTCCTCAGGGGGCAGCCATAGTGGACCTGTATGACGTATATGAATTTTTTCCCCCTAAAATAGTTGAAGCAAGTTCACAACATCAATGATATTTATGCGAAGAATCAAACTATTTTCATTACCTCGCGTTTAAGTCTCCAAATATATTTAATCTTATTAAATTTTGATGTAATTAATGACGCTTGTATGCGCTAAGGATTTGCGATTTACGTATTTATTCTGATGTAAAATTTCGTGAGGAATACGACTGTGCCACTGGTATTTCCTGAAACGAACTCCTAAGCTCAAATATAGCTCACTTGGAGGCTGTTATGGAGGGGATCCCTCTCAAGACACCGAGAGTCCGAGAGAGATCTTCACCAATACAGTTTCAACTTCGATGGTTTTTTTTTTTTGAGGTTGAGAGCTCGTTACAATGAAAACCAGTGGCACAATTGTGTTTCTCGCGAAATGTTGCTTAGCAAAAGTGCTTATATCCCAAATTCCTGACACGCGAAAGAGCTCCATCGACATCGGACCCATTTTACCAGCTGACCCACCCCTCTCCTCCGCTATGTCAAGTTCCCTCTTCTGCGTCAGCCACCTTTGAGGGGATTTAAAGGCAATCTCTCCTCAACCCCAACCCCTAACTATCTGATGCTATCCATAGACCGTCCCCGAGAGGATCATGATCCCCATTCTCTTTTTCCGCGCCCCCTACCCTTAAAGGCAATCTAACCTCAAGCCCTAACTATATGATGCTATCCATAGACAGTCCCCGAGAGGATCATAATCCCCATACTCCTTTTCGGCGCCCCTACCCTTAAAGGGGTTTAAAGGCAATCTAACCTCAAGCCCTCACTATCTGATGCTATCCATAGACAGTCCCCGAGAGGATCATGATCCCCATACTCCTCTTCCGCGCCTCCTACCTTTAAAGGGGTTTAAAGGCAATCTAACCCCAAGCCCTACCCCTAACTATCTGACGCTATTCATAGACAGTCCCCGAGAAGATCTCAAACTCCATACCATTCTCAGAGAGTGACTATACCGGGGACTCCACGGGATCCACCGCGGCGCCAAGTTCAAACCGCGACGCCGCTCTCGTTCCGAAGTGGCGTCGCGACGCTAACGTGTGTCGCTGCCGCGCGCGATTACATAACGCCGATCGGGCTTCGAGCCATTGTCCCCCGCCGCCGCTCGAGGTCAAAAGAAACCCCCCCCGTCCTAACTCCACCCCCCGCCACCACGGTCCTGCTCGCGAGGGCTGGGTGCTGGGTGCTGAAGGTGGACGAAATGTGCTCGATTATGAGGAGCTTGTGCAACGATGCTCGCCGCGCGCTCGCTTCGGAACTCCGAGTCGTCAGGTGCAGTGAAAGTTGGGTCCGGACCCAGCGCCCCTCCCATAGTTGCCGCATTGCCGGGGTTTTGTCCGAAATTTTGAATATTGTGCTAGGAAATGGTTTTGGCGTGGCTGGAGCAATTTTATGCGGGAGGAGTGCGGGCCCTGCTACTCAATGGGTGTCTGAGTCCTCGCAATACATACGGAGGGAGGGGGTGGGTCGTGGAAGTGTCTTCCGGAAAATTTTGGGAACCGCACCTCTTCAAATAAAAGCTCGTCTTTCTAATTTATCGAAACACGGAGCAAGTAAAGCGCCTGAACAACGAAGAGATAACTATTCGTGCTCCTATGTAGGTTTTTTGCCTACTCGGCGAAATTGAAGGCGGATCTCCAGAGAGGGATTTTCAACTGAAAGCTAACGCATCGTTTTCGGCTCCATCGACGCATGGGGCGAGAAAAGCGCCTGGACTACATAGAGATGACTATTCGTGCTCCTATGTAGGATTTTTGCCTATTCGGCGAAATTGAAGGCGAACCTACAGTGAGGGATTTGCAAATGAAAGCTAACGCATCATTTTCGGCTCCATCGAAGCATGAGGCAACAAAAGCGCCTGTACAACGAAAAGATACGTATTTTTGCTTCTTCGTCGGTTTGCTACCCACCTGGCTCCCTTAAAAGGCTTGTCCATGTCGTTTGATCATAATGATGTTGCTGAATTTTGATCAGGAAAATGTTTTCATGAGAAATTATAAATATCTTTCAGGGAATCGTTCCGCATACCAGGAATGATTTGCGAATAAAATTTCCTGGAAGATTCAAGAAGAATATGGGAAAAGGAAATTGTTGTGTTTAATTAGAGGAGGCATGACAACGTTTGAATGTTCATGGAGCGTTTTTTTTCTGAAACACGGCAGTTTGGAAGGATTTTTTTAGATTTGGCAACAATGTTAGTTTGTTTGTGGTTCAGATGTTTGGTCTGGTGCCATTCGACCGAGTTTGTTGATGCGTGGGAAAACGGCATTTGCGATTTTTTCGCAAATTTGGGGGAGGGGGAGCCTGAGGCGTCAATTCGGCTCCGCGGGAAACATTGGAAACAGAAATGATACGGGCTATCTACGGCATGGGAACTAGATCAAAATGGAC